AAAGGGGGCAGGGAGCTAGAAGTGTCTATGAGACAGAGGCTTCTGGTTCGTAATCTGAGTCCAAGGCCCTGAGTTCATCCACACCCAAAAAGACAGGCAGCAGTCAGAAGTTGCATGCTCATCGTTTTATTGGTAGAGTGAAGATAAAGAAAGCTATAATTACAGTGCTAGTATGTCATCATCTTCTAAGGACATTGTCTTCTTATGATTTTTTGAATCACTTTCTGAAAGAAACAGAGAAAAAAGGATATAAGGAAACTGTGACCAAGAAGTTTCTAATCTTTTGTTGGTGAGTGAGGTAGATAACAATGCATCTCCCCCTCTTCTTCTACTGTTTTCTGTCTTTGTGTTCTGATTTGTTTGTGTTCGATTTAGCTTTGCACCCATCACATGATTTGCCCTCAGCTGTCACATGTGAGATGAAGAAAGAGTAGGGTTTTTTTTTTTCTGGCTAAATTGAAAGTATTGGTTGAAAGTATCCTGGGATGAATTTATAAGGCTTCTCTGTAAAATATGTCCTGTAATAGTAAAACACTGATATCATCTGAAATGTCTGGTAACAAGGTGAGAGACAGCACGGCAGTACCACACATATAACACTACGCAACCTCAAAAAGCAAAACAAATCCAAAAAAGCAATGTTGAAAACAAGAGCAAACAACACAGAAGACATGTATGTATATATGTGTGTATACATATATATGTTATTGTATATATGTATATATATTCAAATATGTAGTTGAAGTGATATGTAAATTTCTCGAGTTACATTATTTTATGCATCTATAACATACAGAGTTCAATATAAATGTATCACTAATGAAAAGTGATTATCCATATTTATGTAAAATCAAGTACTTAAAAAGTTTTCCAATTGAATTAATGGTAGCAGCTGTTAGGAAAAAGGAAGTAGGAAAACACAACATGCTTTAAGATTTATATTTCTCTATCGTGTGTTGAGTTCAGAGACTAACTCTCAAGGTTGTCCTCTGAACTTCACACACAAGCCCTGGAGCATGCACACCCATTCTCCATACTCAAACATACATACACCTACAGTCACATAAGCATACATACACAGAAACCTAGATAAGGTCTATTAACTGAGTGTTGCCATGAGACAGTCCTAAGCACAGAGTGATGACAGAAATGTAAGATGAGCTGCTGTTGTGTCTCAGCATGGAGGCAGACAACCTTAGAGAGAACATTGATACTCAGTAAGATGGACAGTTCAGTTATGATCCAAAATGAAATTTGGGCACAATGCTTCTTGAATTAAGAATTACTGTGTAGAGGTTTTAGAGAACACATTCCCTCCTACCACAGGATAACTGAATATTAATAAAGGAAATGAGGTCCAAGTATAAAGAGTCTCTCTGTATACTCTCAAAACATGTTCAAAGTTTAAGGAATTGTAAATTTATTTTTTCTAAAAATACTGAAATTTAGAAGTTTCACGGAAACAATGAAAAAGAGCTCACACCTGACAGTGCTTTCTTGATTACTGATAAAACTGTCTTTGGGAAGATCCCTAAGCTCTCTGTGCCTGCTGGTTACCTGCTATTTTGTTGCAGCTGTTGTCCCTGCCACTGAGGCTGTTGTGACTGCGCAGGCTGTCGTGGGGGCAGACGCTGCTGAGACTCTTGTTGGGGCAGCTGCCCCTGAGACGGTGGTGGCTGCCGTATCTGCTGACGTTCTTGTGACTGCCATATCTGCTGACGTTCCTGTGGCTGCCGTAACTGCTGACGTTCTTGTGGCTGCTGAACGGCTTGTTGCGGTGCCCACTGTGCCCACTGGCTTTGTTGTGTTCGTTGTGGTGGCTGCGGTGGCCGCGGAACCCCTTTTTTAGCTTGCGGGGCTTCACTTTGAAGGTCACGGTTTTGGCCACCAACAGGGGATCCTACGGAGAATCCTGAAGAGGACTGTCTCTGTTACTGTTAGTAACCACAACTTCTGTGTGGGTACATAGTAAGACTAGATGAGCTGAGTGGTGAGAGGCTAACAGCGTTTAATCTTAAAGACTTAATGACTGTAATCTTTTCTCTAAAGTGCCACTCAATTTCTACTGTCCCCATTCACCACTGATTGTCCAGAGGAATGCCTTTAAATGTGAAAAACAATGGCATAGGCCATCTTCTCTTGCCATATGCTATGAGGCTTTGAAGTTTGGGAGAAGAAAATTTCTATAGGATGTCTCTACAGATAAGGGAGCCACCAAGACTTTGGAAGTTGAAACTTACAGTTTAACTCTTTCCCAGAAATGGTCCTTATATGTGCTTCTCTCCTTCATTTGTCCTGCATCCACTATGTATGCAACAAGGGATCTCTCACATGATCCTTTGTCATGCCATAGCTTAGTCACAAAATTTTCCCAGACTCCAATACACCTTTAGCAGCCCAGAGAGTTGTATCTGTAAGACCAAATCTCACCTTTTCATTCAGCCTGTTGAAATGTTAGTTTCCATTGTATGTTAACAAAATAAATTTTAAAAAAAGCCTATAGGTTCTTGAGATGGAATAAGGACTCAAGTGGTCTTTACTTTGGCCTAAAAACTCTACAATCATGTTTTGTTTCAATTTTTAGTTCTCTTTCCTCCCTTCTGTTTGTATGGTCTCCTGTACCGCACACAGAATCACAGACCTCATAACCATATTTGCATACCTTCATCTGGGCTCTGAGCTGAACTGAGAGCCAACAAAGCCACTGTGAGCAGGACCACCAGCATCTTGGAGGAGGCTCTGAAGTTGCTCCCAAGTGTGTGCTGGGAGAAGCAAGGCCACTGTCTCTATAAGTAGTAGCGGAACAATGACATCTTTGAACCCCAACTGGGTGACCTTGTTCCTGATCGAACAGGATACATTGTGTCCCTGACTCTCCTCTTTGGCATTTTAGCTCAACAGGATGTGTTGGGGAGTGGAACTTTGGCAGGATTTTGAGGGAACAATATCACACAATCAATCTAGACATTAGAATTTTGCCATCCCTATGTGAATTTCATTCTATTTAGCAGATTGTGAACATACCCATTCAATGAATAGAGCTGGGAGGCAAGTTTTTGTACACATGTTTGTATCTGTTGTCATTAATCCTTTAGCCAAAAATTAAGATGGTTCATATCTGCTGATAGTATTATCACTCAAAGTCCAGTAGTTATACTTTATATATCCCATGTATATAATATTCAACTATGGTTTTTGTGGTACAGAAGACATTACTCCTTGGCTCTGTGGTTTGTTATGAAACAATATTTGCTACCTCATCCTACCATGTCCCAGAAGATTGCCTAGGATTCTATACATTGTTCTTAATAATGGAAGACTTGGTATTGAAGGAATGTATGGTCTAAAATATAAAATACTCTGATTGCATTAGTATTCTTTTACATTATTCAAACCACACAGTTAGAGAATCCACTATGGGATTCTGCAGCACAGAACTATATATTTGAATTTTCTTGATAATACATGTGACTTATGTCTCTCAGACATCTGGTCCCTTTCCTCCATTTTTCTAGGATGTTTCTGGAGGTTAAGTTTGGGCCTTTCATCTTTGAGGAAATTGTTATTTTGCTTGTTTGTTAATTGCTAACATTGAATACTGATTAGCCCTGGTTATACAATTGACTATGGTAGCACATTGCCTCACACAGAATCTTAGTTGCTTTGTACCATGTCACATATATGGCATTTATAATCAGATATGATTTTATTCTTGAGCTGACCTGAAATAGAGGGAAGTGTCTCTACAATATCCTTATACTCATCCATCCCGACTCTCTACTGGTTTGCTATAGATGACATTTTTGATCCATTAAACCCTTGTTTCTTTATCATGTCCATTGGGGTATGTGCACTGCTTGCTGTCTCTTAGCTAATTACTTAATTATATTTAGTGGTTAAATCTCTGGCAACGATCTCATTCTCTTCATCGAAGATCTAGATTGGGTTCTTCCTATCATTTCACACTTACATGAGATTTTCATGATTTTAATTTTCTGCAGGGCTGATGTTAATTTGCTGACAGTTTGGTAAGAGGTAAGACAAGGTAGGCCATATCACTAAAAATCCTGTCAGCACCATCACCAACTCTTGACAACGAGACCTGTCCCAGGCACATGAGTATCTTTTTAGCCCCTTTGTGCAGGGGTGTTAGACTAGTATAGTAAGGTTCTCAAGGTAATTATGTTTACAATAGACAACAGGTCCCTTGAACCTGACCAGAACATTGTCTCTGGCATGGTCACAGATATATCCTGAAGTGTGATTCTATTAGCACTTGATGATTTTTCACTGATAATATGAAATGGATAGAGGTTCCTCCTCACTTCATCCCGTAGGCCCTTCTACTTAGTGCCATGACAGCTCTTGGTTTCCTCAAGTGCTATAAAGAGAACATGGCAGAGAAGTCTCCTGCTCAGGTGGCTTATGGCAGATCTCTAGGTGGGAAAGGAAGGTCAGGGAGTAGGACCAGGAGTCAGAGCCAGCCAGGTTGAGGACATGAACACATGTATTGGCTGTGGAACAGAGGTGTTGATTCTGCCAAAAATCACTCAGCTCTGGCCTTTTACTGACCTTCTCCTGTGTAAGCAGTGTCTAAAAGAGATTAGTGCATTATGAAAGAAAGTATTACTTAGGAATCCACCAGATCCAACTAAAATGGAGGTTGTGAAAGAACCGAAAAAGAGGGGCTAGCAATTATAGAGGGTAGGGTAGAAGCAATGATCAAAACAGTAGCAGGCATAGGAAAATTTGGGGTTTGTTGACACACTTAAGCATTTATTCCATTTGCTTTGCAATACATATGTAAATGTTAGCATGTCAACAAGAGACCTTAAGTTTCTCTATCCTAAAAAATAATTTCCCATAGCAACTGAGCATGGTTTCCAAACTATTGCAGACAGTTTGGTGCATGCAGCAAGTTCAGTTCCTTCAGTGGCCCTCTCTGTGGCTTCTGGATGCTGACCTTTATGCTGTGCCCTCACATGGGCATTGCTCTTGCACATGGCTACCCTGTATTTCCCTCCATGTCCTCATATTCTTCTATTTACAAGAACAGGAGTCACTCTGGATTGGAGATGACATGACTGCTTCATTTTAAATTAATCATGTCTTTACAGGTTCTACTTCCAAATACAGTCATATTTTAATGATTTCGGGGTTAGGAGTTCAATGCAGGATCAGAAAAGATGAGGACAGAATATCACCTATGACAGTTCCCTGCGAGGGAAATATCCATTTCATCCCATTGGTCAAAAGTCTAGGCGTGAATTGAACATTTAAGCTCCCTCAGGAGTGTCTTTTAAAATTCACAGTTTGTTTGATTTTCAAAATATCATCTATGACCATTTGAACAATCTATACACCATGCCTCTACAGGGTTTATATCTCTTTTGGAGGACTTTATTGGAGCGTCTAGCCAAGTTTGGTAGTCTTGTCCTCAACTCCATGTTTTATCAATTCTTAAAGTTTCTAGAATGATCTATTCAAAATAGAATGAAGTTGGCATCACCACATCGCTGAAAAGCTCATAAAGTGCTCATTACACTTGTCATTAGATATAAATTACATTTTCTCCTCTCCCGAAAGCCTCATGTTCCTTATTCTCCCTCCCTCCCTCCCTCCCTCCTTCTCTCTCTCTCTCTCTCTCT